TTTTTGCAAATATTAGAACATATTTTGTCTCTTTATTTTATGATGCAATGTTTATGTAACAGTGAGTGAAGTATCAGCCCCAATAATGATGCCATGCCAGTATTGGTGAAGTATATGCCATAATGATGGATAATCACCTCAGAGCAGTTTGGCACTTGTGTGGGTGGACAAAGTCAGTACAGCAAATGTGGAAAAAGCACTGAAGTTTAAAACTTTAACATAATAGTCCTCGCCGAGAACAGTGCTGTCTGGTCTGAATAGTTAGAGCGCTAAACTGCTGTGAATCCCCTTCAGGAGGGACTTTGACCGAAGAGAAGCACATTAATACTTGATCTGAAAGGTAAATAACAGAGCATGTCATCATTGCATCTGATAGCAGGTTCTGTCTTTTCACATATCTTATCTTTCTTACCTTTCACTTTTATGGGCTGGTTGTGTTGTATTTGTAAAAGGGATTTAATCTAAAGCAACAAATCAGAAAGTCCTTCATTTCAATAGCATCGTGACTCGTGAGAGACAGTGACAGTTGAACTTTAATGAATGATTAATTGAGTTTAATAAATGCATTGATTAAGGTTGTGCACCATTCAAACCTGTATGACTTCGGTGTTGTCTGGGACTCCAACATTGTTAAAAAAGCCTAAAGTTTTGACTTCTGCAAAGTCATAATATTGGTTTGGAAAGACATTTCCAAACATTTGAACAAAAAGTAAAAAAAAAAAAAAAAACTTTTGCTGATAATTTACTCACCCCCATGTTATCCAAGATGTCCATGTCTTTCTTTCTTCAGTCGAAAAGAAATTAAAGGTTTTTGATGAAAACATTCCAGGATTTTTCTCCATATAATGGACTTCAATGGGGACCAAACGGTTCAAGGTCCAAAAGACACTTTCAGTGCAAACTGCAAACTGTTCAAAGGGCTTTAAACGATTCCATTCCAAGTTTTTTTTTTGTTTGTTTTTAAATGAGTGATCGTTTCGCTTGATAAGACCCTTATTCATCGTCTGGAATCGTTTAAAGCCCTTTGAACAGTTTGTAGTTTGCACTGAAACTGTCTTTTGGACATTGAACCGTTTGGACCCCATTGAAGTCCATTATATGGAGAAAAATGCTGGAATGTTTTCATCAAAAAACTTAATTTCTTTTCGACTGAAGAAAGAAAGACATGGACATCTTGGATGACATGGGGGTGAGGAAATTATCAGCAAAAGTTTTTTTTTTTATAAGTGAACTACTCCTTTGAGTATCTTATAGCTTAACCAGAAAGACTGTTGCTCAACCAGTTTCAGTAGAGACTAGCATGGTAATTTCAGTAGGGGAGGTGGCATTTGGGAAGGTCAAGTATTATAGCATGAATGAAATACTATTTTATTAATAAGTAGATCATATTTGACTTGTATAAGTGTATTGTTGCATGAGCCTTACCTGAGCAGAATGGCTGACTCTGATTCCTCTCAAGACTTTATGAAGTTTCTTCAATGCCACAGTCTCCTTTTTCTTGAAAACTGGAGTTTAAATAGTAAGATAGGATCATCACAGCATATGAACTAACCAACGCATTAATCCACCTAGTGTTTTGCTGTGAATTATTTGAGGTCAGATTTACTAAAAATGTCAAACTATTATGTGGTCGCAATCTAATAAAAGCACATATGGGAGTGGAAAGTTCTGCGGGTTATCTACTGACAATGCACAAATTCAGTTTTTTTTTTTTTCGGGCATAAACTAAACGGACCACCGCAAACCTTAGTAGATCACACTGCATGATTCATTTAAATTCCCTCTGCACATACATTTTGCATCTGATTGGTAAACTCCTATATGCATTTGCAATGAGGTCAAAAATTACTACCTACACTTTTTCATTGCTAATTTCTCACTGTGTCTTTAGTAAGTCCTGACAGTATTTTTGAACAACCCAAAGAGGGTTTGTGCTGTTGCAAGCTGTTAGTAAATCTAGGTCACAAGCTGAAAAGTCAAAAGACACAGTGTTGCATCTGTCTTTACACCCTATTCTTAATTTCTTTATTAGTGATGCAACGTTTATGTACAGTATGTTAAACAACACATGTTATAATAAAGATTGCTTGTCGACGAACCGAATTTAGAAAAAAAAGGTTCTATATATGTAGCATAGGGATCTTTACTTAACTACAAAGGACCTTTTATGCAAAAAAAAATGATGATAATGACGAGAAAGAACCCTTTTGGCACAAAGGTTCTTTATAGGCTATTATTCATTCATATATTACATTATTCTGCAACATTTTGCAGTTGTAATTAAATTATTGTTTATTAAACTGTTGTAGTAACTTAATATCACATTTTAATCATGCTGATTTTTGGAGGGTAAAAACTGAAAAGGCACTCTTCGTGTGATATTGATTAATTGAAATTTTGTGATCATTCACATGCATCGCATTTTAGGTGTTCCAAATACGTAGCGCTTTAGAACCCTTTAAGGTTCTATATTAGGACTGTCAATCTTCCTCTATAATACTATTCGAATGCCATTCCTTATTTTATGTAATATTCGAATAATATTCGAATATTAAATTCTCAAATTTATCCTATTATTAATATTTACAACATTACACATTCTTATGGATCGTCAATGCCACCATAGCCTGTGGTTGTTGTTACACGTTCGACCCTCTAGAGGGACATCTAACATTACATTTAGGGGCTGTTTACACCTGGCCAGTGGCCACTTCATGCGTTTTCTCAGATCGGATAGCTCTGATTTATCAAAACGATTCCATTTACACCTGGTCACATAAATGTGTTTTTGCAAAACAGATATAAATCCGATCTTCAATTCCCGCGCTATATACTGATGTAATGAAGTGCACGTCACCGAAAGCAACAGATTTGAGCTGCATTTTATTGATCATCGGCCAATTTCAAAATCAGCAAAGACAACAATAAGGGAGAGCGGCAACAGCCCTGGTAATATCATTTCATTCCTTTACTTTTAATGAAGATGGTATTGTTAAGCGATAGATTAATTTGCGATAGATTGCGGCACGTTGGCTTGATGAATAGGGGCTCAGATCTGAGGTGATGTGATCGTCATATCGCGTCGGAAGTTCCGGGAGTCTCCCGCATATTGATAGCGTCTCCCTGATGGCCGCAAATTAGTTCAAATCTCCCGGAATCCGCGCATAACATACATACCGCGTGCCGCGCGCGGCGCGTGCATGGCAGAGAGGGAGTGAACGGGACCTTGCGAATGTGCCACGCGAAAGCTAGTCCCGCGCTCTCCTATTGTTAATAAGAAAGCGATAAGGGGCCGTTTACTATGGAAGCTTGTTTCCGCCACTGAATAAAAAAATATAATAAATAATTGTGACTTTATCTCACAATTCTCACTTTTTTTCTCACAATTCTGACTTTTTTTCTCACAATTGCGAGTTTATATCTCACAATTCTGACTTTATTTCTCAATTCTTAATTGCGAGATATAAAGTCAGAATTGCGAGATATAAAGTCAGAATTGTGTGATATAAAGTTGCAATTCTGAGAAAAAAAGACAGAAGTGTGACTTTTACATCTCGCAATTCTGACTTTATAACACATAATTGCGAGTTTATATGTCGAAATTCTGACATCTTTTCTCAGAATATAAACTTGCAATTGCGACTTATTAGGCCAATTCTAAGGGGGAAAAAATACTTTCCCCCCCCTCAGAATTGTTTAAATCTCACAATTCTGACTTTATATCATGCATTTCTGACTTTATAACACGCAATTGCAACTTTATATCTAGCAATTCTGACCTTATAACTCGCAATTCTGACTTCATATCTCGCAATTCTGACTTTATATCACGCATTTCTGACTTTATATCTCGCACTTGCGACTTTATATCACGCAATTATGACTTTATATCTCGCAATTGCGACTTTATATCACGCAATTCTGACTTTATATCTCACAATTCTGACTTTCCATCTCGCAATTCTGAGAAATAATGTCAGAATTGCGAGAAGTAAAATCACAATTGAATTGTGAGATAAAAAGTCGCAATTATCTTTTATATTTTTCATTCAGTGGCGGAAACAAGCTTCCATAGTTTACACCTGGTCACTTTAGAAGTATATTTTTTTTAAATATATATAAAAGCAATATTCGAATAGTAACTTTAGCATTCGAATAGTATTGATTTTTTTAATATTCGAATTATATTCGAATTTCGGAATTCGTTCCAACAGACCTATTCTATATAGAACCTTTTCTTCTAAGAGTGTAGTCCCGGTTCGCTAACCTTTTCCCGATCCCCCCCAAAAAAGATTCCAAAAGGGTCAAGAACCGTTCAGTGAGCATTTTAAAAATCTAAAAAATACTTTTGTGCATTGAAAAGTTTCCATGGATGTCAAATGTTCTCACATAGATGCCAATAAAGAGCCTTTATTTTTAAGAGCACAGATTTTAGTGCACACTATAGTGTGAAAGTGGTATCTAGTGCACTTGTTATCAGTACGGGTCTCTTTATAAGTCCCAGTCCGTGAGTGATACACACAAACACAGAGGTCAACCTCTCCGCTTGGCATCAGGCCAGACGAGAAGAGCGCGGAGCGAAGTCCATTACAAAGGAACAGTAGGTTTTACTGTCTGGCCGAACTCCAGCTCTCATTACAGAGCGACGTCGCATACCCATAACCAAGAAACCTTTTGTCTGTCCGAGCAGGTCTGCAAGGAAAAAACAGAAATCCAGAGGAGAGAGAGGCCTGCTTTTGTGGGTGTAAGTGTGTGTGTGTGTGTGTGTGCACAAGAGCGAGCCGAGCTCATTCAGGAGTCATAGAGTTAAAAATAACTTTATTGCGGATCATGTTTTGGAAGGAGGGATCTACTTGCCAGGCTAGGACGGCCTGCCATGCATGAGTGTGTGTGCATGTGCGTGTGTGTTTTTGTAGCGGCGTCAGGAGCACGCTGACTTCACACACACACACACACACAAACGCCTATCCTGATGGTGTCTGTCCTGTCTTGTGCTCCAGATGAGCTGCTGGATGTAACCTGGCTCCATGAGTGCTATGAATGACTCCCTGGATGAGACACACACCTCTGGCAGCCTCGGGGAGAAAGCGGCCATATTTCGGGGAGCGAGAGGCAGTGGGAACGACGTCGGGCCAGCCTTCATCCCATTGCGCTCGCCCTTGCAGCCACCCAATGCTGCGGTCTCCACGCTCTTCAAGGGGGATAGGTAGGACACACACTTTCTATTGCAGCTGCATGCAAACGTCCGTGAAAGTGTGCATGCTGCATTTCATATTCAGTATTTTTCTCTTGATTTTCATTACAAATCATGATACATTTACTTGAGACTTGAGAGTGTTTTCTAAAAAAAAAAATGTTTATGCTTGAAACAAGAAGCAATATTTTGCCAAATGGGGTCATAATAACAAATTTAAATCAAAGGGAAAACGTGAATATTTTTATGACCCCATTGTCAGATTTTTTTCTTGTTTTAAGCATATCCTTTCATGAGTTCACATCTAAATATAATTATTATGGTAAAGGTTATGCGTACTTGGTGTGCTGAGGGCTCCAAACTCGGAATTGCCGCCCGAATCCAGAGTACTCCCCCCAAAAAGCATTGCATACGCATTGGCAAAAGCGTCAGTATATGACGCCTTGGGATGAGAACGGGCTGAAATGTGTGTACGATATACTGTCCTTGTCCAGAAAGGAAATAAAGACATCATCAAAGTAGTCCATGTGACATCAGTGGGTTAGTGACACTGTTTTGAAGCATTGCAAATACATTTTAGTCAAAAAATAACAAAAACTACGACTATTGTCTTCCGGTTGTGTTGTGGATCTGCGTTCAGCGTTCAGTGCCGGCTGAGCTTCGGTTACAGTCTGAGGGAGATGCACGCTGTACAAAACAATCTTCACAGACATGTCTAAGGATTTCCACACAGAGGAAGACTTATCCAGCCATATTTATTTGAACCCGAATACATTGACGCACCAGACACACGTCAGCCGTGTCTTACGTCAGCAGCGTCACAGAACAGGAAGATGATACAATGCTGAATAAAGTCGTGGTTTTTATTATTTTTAGACTAAAATGTATTTTTGATGCTTCAAAACATTGTGGGCCCTATTTTAACGATCTGAAACGCAAGTATCAAGTAACTTTGTGGGTGGGTCTTGGGCGCTGTTGCTATTTTACCGGCGGGTTAAATGCCTCTTGCGCCCGACGCAAGTTTAAAAGTAGTTGTTCTGAAGTAGCTTCATTATTCACGGCGTAACGTGAAATAAACCAATCAGAGCGCCATCCAACATTCCCTTTAAGAGCAGCCGCGCATGTTGCATGGCGGATTGTTATTATAACGGCGGGTTTACCAGGCGCGTTCACAGCTGAGGAGACCGACGTTCTTGTCAGGGCAGTGAAAGACAGAGAAGTGATGTTATATGGGGATGGAGAAACCCACCCAAATCAGCGTCGGTTAAACATACGTATATTTCTTGCCACTAATTGGGCAAACAGGTCTGATCCTTTAGATACAATTAGCCTTAAAAATTGGGTAATTAGTTTTTTTTCATCTTCATGTAAACTAGGGCTTGGGTAATAAATATCGATTTCTCGATATTAATCGATTCTCATTTTTACGAACCGATATCGATTCTTAAATCTCAAGAATCGATTAGTCATCCTGTTTCGTTTGAATGAATGGGACATTGTATCGCGGCTGCGCGCATCCAAAAAATTGCAATAATCTTTGTCCTTTGTTACTATTGATATGAAACAAAGTCTCAAATTTCAAATTACGTCCATTTTCTTTAGAAATTCAAAAACATAAATAGTGTTTTGGCGCTGTGGCGTGAGATCGCTCTGGCAAAGCTCAAGAGAAGCAGCAGCGCTGATCTCTCTTCCGGCTTAATAATACCAGTCACAGCGTGAAATAAACATGAATGAGCATCTGAAAGTGTGTTAAAAGATAGAGTACAACTTATCGAAATCCGTATCATGTCACATTGATTCGCTCAATCAGTGTTTCAACCGTGGAAAGACGTCAGTTAAACAGCTTGTAATCAATGTCATCGTCATATTTACCTCAGAAAACCCACATAAACTCGTTAGTCAGCTAGAAAAAATAACTCTAGAGAGGAGCATTTTGCTAAATATATACACCATATTACATATGCATTATAATCTTAATGTTCTTCAATATTTAATGCATATTTGAATAAATCTGGCAAGTTTTTATGGCAGCCACCATTTAAATGTTTACATTTCATATAATCTTCTTATTATAAAAATAAATAAAAGTGTAATTTAAGTGTTTGTATAGCTACAAAACAGTTCATTATTACCTTCATATTAGGCTAATGAAGCCTTGTAGGCTACAACTAGACTCCCATAGTTTACAGCATTTAAGAGATTTGATTCCCTTGAGAAAAAATGCCATTTATTGTAACTGATATCCAAAATAATCGATATTGAATCGAATCGAATTGTAATCGAAATCGAATCGAATTGCAAGCTTGTGGATCGAAATCGAATCGAATTGTGAAATTTGTCTCAATACCCAGCCCTAATGTAAACCACAATGATTTCCCTCATGTGTTAATATTTGTCCTTGTTATAATGTATGATTTGCAAAACTAAAAACTGCTGCATCGGTGTTGATGAGAGAATCAAAGTATATGCGTGTTGTGCACCCGCTACATTATAGCCAAGCATGCGCGCTTAAAATAGCATTATGAACAACGCGCCACTGACTTTAGACCAGGTTTTTTCTGGTCAGTGGCGCAATTGTTTTTTGGAAGTGTAAAATAGCACCAGGGAATGTTTGCGCCGAAACACGCCTCATTTTTGCGCCGGCCCGCCCAGTGAGCGCAAGTTCATTTCCTAATTTACCGACGTGCTTCTGTGGAGGGAAAAAGCCTGCTTTGCGCGGGTGCAAAATAGGAATGATACATGCGTTAGGCCGTGTTTCCACCAAAGCGTTTTTCCACGCGCCTGGCGGATGTTTTCAATTGTTTTCAATGGGAGCGCCGCGTTTTTTAAACGCCAAGGCGCTGAGCGTTTTTTTTTCACGCTGAAGCGCCCGCCGTTTTTACTGGTTGCTGGAAGTTGAAATAATGTTCAACTTTGGATAAATCGCAGCGCTCATCACTGTCACTTTTTACCCAGCCGTCCAATCACAGTGGAAGAGGGGCGGGACTAATACCACACCGACCAACTGTCAACATTCAAACTGCTGTGGATATTCTGTATCATAGCAACGAAACGTCTCAACGGAAAAAACGCTGCGCTGCCAAAACGCTCTCAAGCGCCCAAAGCACGGCATCTTCAGCAGAGCGTCTAGCGTTTTTAGCCAGCTTTGGTGGACACACGGCCTTAGTGTATAAAGTCATTTCCGCCGGGTGCAACATAGAGCCCTGTAACTAACCCACTGATGTCACATGGACTACTTTGATGATGTCTTTATTGCCTTTCTGGACAAGGACAGTATACCGTACACACATGTTCAATGGAGGGACAGAAAGTTCTCAGACTAAATCTAAAATAAGCAAGTTCAGGACACTCGGTTCCCCACGTCGATACCGTACCTCGTTTCCATCCGGTTAATCGTTAACACGTCAGATCGGACAGGGAATAGAGCTGCCTTTGTGCTCTCTGCAAGGTCTACGTGAGAACCACCTAGACTTTGTACCTGTAAACAGATGTTCTCATCAACAGACACTGGAATCAAATCAAGCACCTGCTACTTTCCAGGTCGAGTCGGAGGCCACTTTACCGTACGTCACCTCTTCTGCGTGTTTGTGATACGGTAGCGCTGAGATCATGAATGTGCGGCTTGAATGCAGCCCTCGAAAGATGACTCTGAAGTGTTTATTTGTGCCGTAACCAACAAACAACTGAGCTCAAATGATGTAGACATGGATTTAACACACCCCGCTGCAATCCTGTTTCCAAAGCCAAAAATGCTAACTATAATAGATACAGTTCAAGAAGTCTTTGGACTAGAGGCGTGATAATGCTGTCATTTGAGATGAGAAATGAGTTTGTTGTGATCAACACTGAAAATTATAATATCTTAGTTAACTGGTTTTAATTAAGTCAAAAATGATCACTGAATCAAACTAAATACATGAATTTTTCAACAAGATTAAAGATTAAATTCTATTGGTTAAATCAGGTGGAAATAACTAACAATTGTAGGTTCTCTTTTTTTATTTACAGTGAAGTAAGAATTTACATTTTTAGAAAATAATTTTCAGGAAATATTTTTATGACAGAAAAGATGCCCTTATTGAGGTGTAAAACCCCAATGCATCTAAAGCCACAAGTCTGATCATGTTATATTTTTTAAATCTGAGAATGATATCCCTAAAACTCTTAGTTTTATGAAATATATTTTTGAAGTGCGTGGCATGGGACTATTCAGAGATGATGCTTACTCACACAAATGAAAAGATGTAGTCAAATGGATAGTTGTAAATGCTTTCATCGTTAATCATTTCAAACCTGATGACTTTCTTTTATTGTGTGTGACACGAAAGAAGACGTTTTTTAAATGTATCTGAAACAGGACATTTTTAAGTGCACTGTTTACCTGAGACACACCTTGTGAAACCGGGACTGTCCTAAGTAAACCCTGCCACATGCGCATATACAAATATTCAGACATTTTCGCTGTATGACTTCTGCGGATTTCAAAGCTGGAGATTGATTTTCACAAATGTTTCTCTCTTTCTACTCTTTCCCCAATTTGCACTGGTTAAATTGTTGTGGTGATTCTCTTTGAATTTGTTTTTGCCTACTTAAGATTTTTGTTGATTTAGTGTGTGAGCGTGTGTGTGTGTTAAAAAATCGTACGGACCCAAAACGTAAATGTATTAATAATTGTGTATATACACTATTGTTCAAAAGTGTGGGGTCAGTATGTTTTATTAAGAATTTTAATACTTTTATTCATCAAGAATGCATTCAATTGATCAAAAGTGACAGTAAAGACATTTATAAAGTCACAAAAAAATTCTATTTTGAATATACTGTTCTTTTGAACTTTCTATTCATCAAATAATCCTGATTAAAAAAAGTGTCAGTTTTCACAAAAATATGAAGCAGCACAACTGTTTTAAATAAATAAATAAATAAATAAAATAAAAAATAATATATATATATATATATATATATATATATATATATATATGTGTGTGTTTGTGTGTGTGTGTGTGTGTGTGTGTATATATATATATATGAATTTGTGGATATTTCTTTTTGAAAGTTTCAGTGAATGGTAATATAAAAGCAGTCTCTCTCTCTCTCTGTCTCTCTCTCTCTCTCTCCCTCTCCCTCTCTCTGTTGTGTGTTCCCGCTGAAATGGATCAAAAACACACACACACACACACAGGCCAAATGAGTTTGTTTGCAGTCACAACAATAGCAAATACAAAAGTTACTGTTAAACATATTTCATTATGTTCTTTCTATCAAAAGAAAAAAAATGAATTTGCATAATGCAAAGTCTATTTTAGCACTATAAAACTGTGATACATTAAAAATGACTGCAAAACAAAGATGTTCATATTTAATTCAGCATGTAAAAAAGCAAAACAATAAAATACTACAATAATGAATTAAAACTTTATAATTGTAAAAATTAATAATGATTAGTTTCCACATTATATTAACGAAAATGTCTTACAGGTCCTCCAAACAAGCTTCGTTTTCTTCAAGCAAACAATATTTATTTCAATGTAGGCGGCGAAATATGACCCGTGCATGTTCTCGACGTGTTCCGTGAGATTTACCCATCAACAGAACTCTCTAAACGGATTATAAATAAGCACATGATCACGCAGCTTCAGACTGCCTCTCTCCTCGCTTTACACCGGCCCTCCGGGGACCGTTCAGGTACAGCCGATGAAGTCATCTCCGCCCGGGACTTCAGTCATCATATGACCTCAACCGCTGCCTCCTCACACACAGCTGCTGTCTGCTGCGCGGAGAATGCAGGGCGTCTGGTTTATGAAATGTCGTTCGCGTCTCACATGCATGATAAGTGCTATTTTGATGCTGCTAGCTTTCCCTGAGGAGGCACATTTTAGATTTGCAGATGTACTTTGTGACTAAAGCTAAAAAACTACTTGAAATAAAATAAAATAAAATATTAAAAGCTAGTATCCAAGGCAAGTTGCCTGGTTAGCTTTAGCATTTAGCCCCTGTTGGTAGAATCCATTTCTACATCATTATGAGGCCAAAAAACAGCCGGCATTATCCACATTTTTCCTGAGCAATCGACGAGCGCCGCCATGTTGGATTCCAGCCCGTTCTCATCCCAAGGCGTCATATAGTGACACTTTTGACAATGCATATACATCCAACGCACATGGCACCCTTTAGGCTGCGTATCCACCAAAGCGTTTTTCCACGCGCGCCGCCTGGCGTATGTTTTCAATTGTTTTCAATGGGAGCGCCGCGTTTTTTAAACGCCATGAGCATAACGAGGCGATGAGCGTTTTTTTCACGCTGAAGATCCGAGCGCCTAGCGTTTTTTTACTAGTCGCCGAGAGTTGAAAAATGTTCAACTTTGGATAAAACCATAGACTGTAAAAAATATGGACAAAGCGTCTGTGACGTCACCCATAGACTCGGGTTTGAAGCTGTTTATGGGGGGCATGGGCGGCGACATACTGGAAAATCTTGGAAAATACAAAAGTTTCAGAAAGGATACAGAGGTGGTATTATCATGTGTTGCGTCAGATCATGGCCGAGACGTCAAATTCACTCGGCGCAGCCCGTTATCAGCTGTCAATCAAAGTTAACCGCCCTTATTTGTCATACGTTTTAAATCTAAATATGATCTAAACTAACGAGTTACAAAAAAATCCACCCCCCTCACAGTTGTCAGGCACGCGGAACATATTGAAGATTACAATACAAGTCCATGGGACCAAACTGTAAACATATGAATTTATGCTGTGAAAACGGACATTATAACATGACGTCTATGGATATTTGCTCCCTTTTGGGACCGGCCTCTAGCGGATTTGAGATGTATTGCAGTTTATCGCACTTCCGGGTAGGCTTCATCTTTCAGATTAGAATGTTGCCGCTTGGATAAAACGCAGTCACTTCTTACCCAGCCGTCCAATCACAGTGGAGGAGGGGCGGGACTAATACCACACCGACCAACTGTCACAACATTCTTTGTGTACAACGACATCAACCAACAGAGCTAACCGAACAAAATGGATGAAAAATACATTTTTAGTTTGAAACAAATCATAGACATATACACTAGACCTCACCTTGGCTACGGCAGTTCATTGGAACGAATGCGTCAATAGAGCCGCCATCTTGAAACAGGGGAGCCCCTCCACTTTAATGCATCAGCGTCAATGTAGTAGACACAGGTCTAACGGAAATAAAATCACCATAAATCATCATGAATGCAATTTTTCTTGCTTTTTTGGTTCGTTTCAACGGTCAGACATGTATTTATCAGTGATTCCAGAAAGAAAAAAAAAAAAATTTTCTTAAAAAAAAAACATTCTTCCTAGTTCAGATTTCATCCGTGAACATCATACGCTGCACAAAAGTCCGCCACCATCAATGATTTCGAAGTAAAGGCAGAGATAGCAGCGTTACCTAGCTACTTCCTATGACAAGACCCCTGTTCCAAGATGGCGGCGGTTTTGACGCATGCTTAGAACCCCAAGGTGAGGTCTAGTGTATACATCTATGGAAACAAATTATCTGCGAAATCAGTTACAAGTAAACTGTGCTGTGGATATTCTGTATCATAGCAACGAAACGTCTCAACCAGGGCTCCAGACTAACTTTTTTTACTAGGAGCGCTGTTGCCCCTGACTGAAAATTTTAGGAGCGCAAGCAAAAAATTTAGGGGCACACCTTAAATAAGCTTGCAATGCAATTATTCAAATTTCCCACAAAATAACTGTAATACTGACAAATTCTTTAATAATAAATAGACTTAACATTATGATATGCTGTTTTATTTTAACTTCACAGGGCTCCAGACCCAAAGTTGAAGGCAGCATCACCTCAAATGAGAACTCACAGTTCTATAAAAAAATAAAAATAAAAAAAAAATCTGGTAGCACTGGGGCTAACAATAAATCACTAAGCTTAATTTAGGGTGTAGATGAAATTAACTTTAGTTTTTATCATTTATAATGTCTTAATATTAATTAATAAAAGTAGTGAAAATGTGTATATGGAGTGAAAATAGCCAATAAACATCCTACTGTTTACAATGGTATTATTATTATTATTTTAAGTGTTTAAATAAGAGTTTTCCAACATCTTAAAATTGTTCGTTTAAGGACAATCTTTAAAGGATGAACAAAAATGTGTTGCTATGGTAATCACATAAAAAATACAAAAAAATAAAACCTTTATATATTATATTATTGAAGTGCTGGGAAAGGATGTGTAGTAGGCTACTTACACATTACCATATTTATGGTAAGAGTTAACTTGCCTAAATTCATGGTTCTTTTAGGCTGATTTGTGGACTGAAAGCCTTCTATAAGTGTTTTTCCTGGTTTTCACGTCAGCGCTGTTTGATCTGATATGGTTTATAACAGAACTCTGCGCCGAATCGGAGTGTTCACTGGATCTCGTGGTGTTAATGTTATTAATTCTGTGGCGAATTCAATTGATTTCTTCACTGGCTCTCCTAGTAACAGTGTTGCGTGAGCGAGATCGGCCCGCGACTGGCAAGTTCGGGGCTTTATTTTGTCAATGGTTCGGATCGCTGCTGCAGCTCCACGGTCCTAATCATACATGAGTGGCGTATTTTCGTTCCACTTTCATTTTGTTTGCATTCGTTGCTAGGTAACGACTAAAGAGTCGATAGATCGCTGATTGCTCAGACGCACATCAGTTTGTGATATTTGTTTCCGTCTCCTTCCCACAAACGTTTACGCGCGCTATTCTTGTCACGGATTCATTGACGCGCCTCTTCCACGCTTTACCATGCGTTTAACGTGTGGCAAATTTACTGGTCGCACATGTGCGACTGGATGTAAAATTCAGTCGCACACTCTCAATTTTTGGTCGCAAAATGCGACCATTTGGTCGCAGTCTGGAGCCCTGTCAACGGAAAAAAACGCTGCACTGCCAAAACGCTTTCAAGCGCCCAAAGCACGGCGTTTTCAGCTGGCTAAAAACACTTTGGTGGACACACGACCTTATATATGGGCCACCTAGTTGTTGTTGTACATTAGTTGTGTTTATAATCATGCACTTCCAATGTATTCTAGGTGTCAGGGAAATGTTTTTAAATAAAAACTGAGCTGTCGAAGCTTAATGGTTACGTTGAAGTCATGTGACTGTGGTGTAGTTCATTTATAGCCTACGCTTAGTTTTTAGGCTTCTAAAAGTTGCATTCATTTTTGAAGATTATCATGATGAATCATAAACTTTTTTGGTCACAAAGCGTATAATCCAAAAGCCAATGCAAATCCTATTGGGTTTTTGTCGTGGGAAACAGGGCAATTGTGGTAAAAATGCCATTGTGTTTATTCACGTCTCTTACCACTGGTTTCTCATTTTCTCCTCAGGAAAGGTAGAGAGGTGGATGATACACAAATGGGACCCGTCCCAAATCCCTTCCCAGAGTTGCTGCCATCCACCGTCTCTCTAGTGTCTGAGTGTCTGTTACCCTGGACCAAAGCCAGTGCAACTCAGGTGAGGCATTGATGATTTACTCAAGCCACGACTGTTCAGAAGAGCTGCCTCGCTGTCTACGGCCTACATAGGGATAGCATCATGGGATTGTCTTTTCTTTGGGGAATAGATAGAATATGACCAAAAGACGTTTTCTTAGTTGGCCATAGAACAGAGCCATAGTGTATCATATTTTTTAATGTATGCATTTGTATTGAATGAAAAATTTATTGTTAAGCAATTGATTGGTTTTGATTATTTGGTTAAAAAGTTCCAAAATGTCTAATTTAATGTTTGTTGCACTGTCTTAGTTCAATTCCCAGTCTGTAAGTACAGTGACTGAAACACATGAAGGTGAGGCTGATAAACAGGCAGAAGGTGCAAACCTCCCCAGAGCGCTATTGACGTAAGCAAGGAACAGAGCGATGTTAAACCAGTTTAGCAGGAATGGAAAATGAACTGGGACAGGGGAATGAAATCGCTGTGTCAGCATTCTGAGTCTATATATTTTTGGATTTAGTTTCTAATCCAGTACAAAAAGCATGGCATATGGAAATATAGATATTTTGAACAGAACTTATAATTAGAAAAGGAATTTACATCGAAACTTACCTTGATTTGTCAGCCTGACAAAGGTCTACCTCAAAGATTAACCGTCGACAAGATGCGGCACTGAATAAAACGGCCGATTTTGTCAAATTGGGTGTCAAATTTCCTTCGACCTCCCCTCCACGGGATGGCAGACATGTCATACTTCATCCCGACTCCAAAAAACGTCATATTTCTATACAAAATGTTCAAGTTACAGCGCATTGAATCAGTGCGATCAAAAGCGGAGCTAGTGTGCGAGTGAGCCATTTTATCAGAGCCTCTCCACAATCGTGGCGACAGTATCGTGGTGGAGACTTTGTCTATTATCACTCGGTATGTCAGACGAGGTCGAAGTATTCATAGTACAGTTAGGGGGCGGAGTCGCAATGACAATGATCTGGCCGCGCTGCTCGTATCATCTCACTCATGATCTGTGCCTTGCCGTGGCGAGTGAGCTTTTGAACTAAACAGGTCTTGTCTACTTGTTTTTGTGTGTCATATGAATAATATATGCCCCATACATGGACTCAGATTGCCTACTGTATTTAGTAATTGGAAATTCTCTACAACAAAAGGCCAACCACTACATGCATTCGGTTTGTTTCTACCATTTATTATTAGTAATGATTTACACAGTTTGTTTACTAATTACTATATACCTGAGCATTCAGTATTGTGCAATATTGCATACAGCATAGCAAAGCAGTGCTGCATTTTATCATTTAAACGTGACTTTTCATGAAAATTCTATAATCCAAGATTGCCTCCACCATATGATGTCATAATATGCAAATTACATGGGAAAACGTAATCCCTACATAAACTTTGGGTCATCCTTAATATTTCTCTAATTTACATAATGTCTCTATCTTTTATCACTTTTAAGATGTAGCCTTTTGAAATTCAGATCGAAAATCGAATTAAAATTAAAATCGAACGTTTTAGGAAAAAAAACTCTGGCGCCTGAAGTTTAAAGGTTATTGATTTGATAGATAGATAGATAGATAGATAGATAGATAGATAGATAGATAGATAGATAGATAGATAGATTGATTGATTGATTGATTGATTGATTGATTGATTGATTGATTGATTGATTGATTGATTGATTGATTGATTGATTGATGACTATACATGACTTGCTCTCTGTGAAATCAGGAGTGTTCAAGTTGTTGAGCTGTTCACACCACACGACACAACGTGATTGATCCGCAACAGGAGGTAACTCACTACACGAGTTGACAACAACTCTGTCACCCAACGATTCTATCTTGTCTACAAACCACGTTTTGTCACGAAAAATCACGCGATAAAACGAACCGGAAATGACGCGAAACAGCACGCGCGCCAATAACCAGCGATGAAGATGAAGAACACAACACGCGAATATGGACGTCAGACAGAAACTAGTGCTGCAAACTGTTTGCGCAATGACTTGCTAAAAAAGAAAAAAAATAAGATTTACTCGACGACCTCAACCCATGCTTTGCTCTGATTGGCTGTGGCTCATGACATCACTGAGGTTGAGTCGTGCGACAGCTCTGGATATCTAGCATGCTAGATATTTTTCCGGGCTCGTCTTTGATGCGTCGTTGGCTCTTTCATACTAAGATTTTGCCGAGCGTTCATCGCCTGCTAATCCCCCGCGATTTGCACACGATAACACCCTGACCTGTCGGCGACCTGTTAAAATCCTGTAGTGTGAACTTGGCTTTAGCTATCGCGATAATATGTCAGCCTGATCAGGAGTCGGGATTGTGGAAGATTTGGGATCTGGGAGTAGTAAAATAATCAAATTAACACCACACAATTGATTTTTTTTGGACAAAAAGTTGTTTGTGAGAAGCTTCGATCGCTTGGGGTGCAAAGCGGGCTCAAAATCTTCACGAGATTGCAGTCTCTTACTAATTCATACTAGTCATACTAAAGAATGACTTTAATATTGTTTGTAATGTTTCACGATGAACACTTACTGGACTGAATTGGCTTTTGTTGTGGTTATCCATACAACATTCATGCGAGTATCAAATATGATCATCAGGCTTTTAAGGAATGTTTATTTGTTCATCTCTCAGTCATCATTGTATTGCATTATATTGTATGTTTTGCACTTTTATGGGATTGCAATCTCATACTAATTTTCCCTATTTAGTAAGTCTTTTAGTCTTGGCTACTAAAAAGCTGTTTGGTTGAAATGCCTCAAGTGTGAAGAGCTTTTGTTTTCTGTGTGAGATGACGAAAGCTGAGAACCGTTCATATCTTGTTATGCTGACGTATTTTACGAGTTTGTTATCAGTCGTATATTAGATGCATCCTCAGAGCCGATTTGCTCCTGAACTTAAATGGCCAATGCAATCTGCTTACAATGCTGATTTGGCAAAACCAAGACCCTCGTGGATCTTATTATATGACAAATATATGTTATGGACAGCCATCCGGAACAGCTTTGACCTGCAGCAAATTACAGCATATTGAAATGTGCCGTCATAATGTGGCTTTGCAGTTTGCCATTATGGGGTCCTTCATTACATTTGAGGCTGGCAGTAATGATCCCTCTCGTATTATATCTGAGGCTAGCAATTACAGACACGGTATATTGGTGAAAAGGAGGGAAAAGCAGAGGGGGATGGGGTGGAAGTGTCACGAGAACTTTTTGCTGTGTTAGTTTGCAGAGGATAGACGATGACTCAGACTGTGTCCGCCCTAAAAGACGGTCCTGGCAACACAAATAGAGTGCAACAGCTGGGTTCCAGAAGTTCAAACTCCATTCATTTTCTACAAAAATAAATTGTTTTTAGCATGAACTTAACAGTCTTTAAAGACAAACCTTTTTTATGGCATATTTTGCCATAAACTTAAACTAGCTACACTCTAAAAATGCTGCGTTGTTTTAACCCAACTTTGGGTCAAATATGGACAAACCCAAACGTTGGATTAAAAATGTAATGAAAAAATTTAACCCAGTGGCTGGGTTTGTCCATATTTGACCCAAAGTTGGGTTAAAACAACCCAGCATGTTTTAGAGTGTATTGTTTCGACAGCGTCAACTTTAAACAAATGGGTATATATTTTTTCATCATTTTGAATTTGATTATTTCTATCGCACTGCTTCATGCAATTGTACACTCTAAAAAATGCTGGGTTGTTTTAACCCAATTTTGGGTCAAATATGGACAAACCCAGCCATTGGGTTAAAAATGTAATTTAAAAATGTAACCCAATGGCTGGGTTTGTCCATATTTGACCCAAAATTGGATTAAAACATATAGCCATTAAGTTCACAGTCTTGTGCCCTTTGTATTTTTATCTGATATTCAAATTATTTTGATTCAAATCAAAGTTTGTAATGTTGTGTTTGACCTTGTAGCTTGTTGGGTTGGTTCATGGCTTGTAACTCTTTAACAAAGACTTTTTTTAAATCCCTAGGGAGAAATGAATGGACAAAATACTTGTGGAACCAACGCTGCTGTAAAAGTGAGCGGACGCTAATGCACTATATTATCTTCAGACTTGTGCGCGTGTGTGTGTGTGTGTGTGACAGACAGGCTTGCTCACTCTGCAGGCTGAAATTACAGACCTTCGATCGCAGAGCAGGCCAATATGCGGTGACATTAGGTTGCCGGTTGAAGTTTAATGCGACTGTTTTCATACTAGTGTAATTCACAGATGGGTTTGTTCTCTAGCACAGTTGTTCCCAACCTTTTTAGCCTTAAGTGCCTCGACAACCCATCAAAAAGTCTCAAGCACCCCTTCATCGACACTAAACCAAGAAATCAATGTGGTGGGTAAAAAAAATACATATTTTAATTTTTTTATTTTTTAAATCCAACATTTGATGGAAAACTAACACTAAAAATTTAAAAAGACATGAAATTACACTATAATCTTTTGTACTAGTAAAAGTAACAAAGTTTCTTGAAAACCAATAGCTTATCTTCAAATTCAGCACAAGCTCACTTGCAGAAACTCACGTTTTAATCAATGAATTTAACAAAAGTGTTCAATAAATCTCTAATTTACAATGCCTCTATGCTTTGATTGTTATATTGGTGTTAGTAACTTTGGTTGGTACTAAACAGAAACTCATTCAGTGTTTTGTTCCTGCATGCCTTTTCTGCCAATGCGGTAGTGTTGTAGTACTCGAGACCAGTCTTGGTTTCGAGACCACTTTTTGATGGTCTCGGACTCGACCGTTTTTGCTCTCGACCTTGTCTTGGTCTCGGACATTGAGGACTCTGGATTTTTTTTCAAGACCAGACAACTGTGAAAATATCACTAATTTACCAGTATATTGATTAATTTTTTGTTAACATCCTTGCTTTTATTGTTTGTAATTACTACTGATTCAAATTCAAGCAATAACTTGACTCATTGGTCATGTATTGTTAATAAAAGGCGGAGAAAAGTGAAGACTTGTTTTACATTCTGTC